CTTGCGCAGCAGCAGGCAGTGAAAGCACTGAGCTAAATCCCCAGGCCCTCTTGATTCTTTTTATCTTCCTTCCCCTCCCCAGCCTCCTCACTCTATCTCTAAATTCCCTTCCCCCATTTGTATTATCATTATTATTTTAGTTCATGTTTGTGACATATAATGATTACATTCATGGTGGGTAGTTAGTACATGTACATGACACATCTTATATTTTTTAACACCTCTGTCCTCTTCCCTCCTCCTCTTCAACCTCAGTCTCTTAGTCCTCTTCCATAACATCTATTTCCCTGTTTCCTTTCATCAATCTTTTATTTTGCTCATTATTTGTACTTTGGGTTACTCAAGTGAAAGAAACCATACATTATTTAAGCTTATGTGTCTGATTTATTTCACTTGATACTGTTTTCAGGGTGTCCATTTTCCTATAAAGGTCTCCAATTTGTCCTTCTTTATAACCATGCATTATTCCATTTTGTGTAGAAACCGCATTTTCTTTAGCCATTCATCTTGATGCACATATAGGCTGTTTCTAAGATTTAGCTATTATGAATTGTGCTACTACATTCATTAATATTCATGTATTGCTATAATATGATGTCTTAACTCTTTGAAGAGGATACCTAGAAGGAGGAATATCTGGATTAAATGGAATTTCTATTTTTAGTCTTTTGAGACATCTCCATTCTGATATCCATAATGGTATTACTAATTTACACTCTGGCCATCCAGGTAGAAGGGTTCCTTTTTTCACTGCAGCCATGCCAGCATTTGTTGTTATTTGATTTCATGATGATTGCTATTCTTTCTGGACTAAAATGAAATCTCTGTGTTGTTTTAATTTGCATTTCTCTAGTGGCCAGAGATGCTGAACATTTTTCATGTATTCATTGGCTATTTGTATTTCTTATTCTGAGAGGTGTCTGTTCATCTCAGTTGCCCATTTTTTGATTGGGTCTTTATTTTGGCAGTCTCATTTTTTAGCTCTTTATTTATCCTAGATATTATTCTTCTGTCTGAGGTGTAGCTGGCAAATTTTTTCCCATTCTGTAGACTGACTCTTCACTCTGTTGGTTGTTTCCTTTGTGGTACAGATTTATTTGATTCTAGCTGCTATTTCTTGTGAATTGGAATTCCATTCAGAAGGTCTTTGCCTGCTTCAAGAGTTTTGTCTACTTTTCTTTCAGTAGGTTAAGTGTTT